ACCCATAGCACCCACAGAGACCTATAGTGTGGCTGGCCATCTGCACCCTGAGTGACCCACAGCAACCCATAGAGACCTATAGCCTGACCCGTAGCACCCCATAGTGACCCATAGCGTGGCTGGCCTTCCACGCCATGTGACCCACAGCGACCCATAGAGAGCAGAGACGCATAGAGACACAGCGAGCCTCATAGCTACCATACAGAGCGATAGCGTGCCCTAGAGACCCATAGCGCCCCCTAGAGACTCATCAAGACCACAGAGACCCAGAGAACCCCATCGCCACCATAGAGATTGATAACGCCCCCTAGAGACACATCCAGGCCCAGAGAGCCTCGCGAGCGAGCGCGGAGCCCCACGGCGCCCCCCATTGCCGGCTGTCCCCGCAGGTGGCGGCGCAGCAGAAGGAGTCGGAGTCGACGCAGAAGGCGGAGCGGGAGGTGTCGCGCATGGTGGTGGTGATGATCCTGGCCTACTGCTTCTGCTGGGGGCCCTACACCATCTTCGCCTGCTTCGCCGCCGCCAACCCCGGCTACGCCTTCCACCCGCTGGCCGCCGCGCTCCCCGCATACTTCGCCAAGAGCGCCACCATCTACAACCCCATCATCTACGTGTTCATGAACAGACAGGTGGGGGGCGCGTGGGGGTGCGGATGGGGGGGTGGAGGTGGTGGAGGTGGGACATGGGGATGGTGGAGGTGATGGGGATGATGGAGTTGGGGAGAGGAGATGGGATGTGGGGATGGTGGAGGTGATGGAGGTGATGGGGATGGGGATAGGAAATGGGACATGGGGATGGTGGAGATGGTGGAGGTGATGGAGGTGGGACATGGGGATGGTGGAGGTGATGGAGGTGATGGAGACGGGGAGAGGAGATGGGATGTGGGGATGGTGGAGATGGTGGAGGTGATGGAGGTGGGACATGGGGATGATGGAGGTGATGGGGATGATGGAGTTGGGAAGAGGAGATGGGATGTGGGGATGGTGGAGGTGATGGGGATGATGGAGTTGGGGAGAGGAGATGGGACATGGAGATGATGGAGGTGATGGAGGTGATGGAGACGGGGAGAGGAGATGGAGGTGATGGAGATGGGAGGTGGAGATGATGGAGGTGATGGAGGTGATGGAGATGGGGATAGGAGATGGAGGTGATGGGGATGGGAGGTGGAGATGATGGAGGTGATGGAGGTGATGGAGATGGGGATAGGAAATGGGACATGGGGATGGTGGAGATGGTGGAGGTGATGGAGGTGGGACATGGGGATGATGGAGGTGATGGGGATGGGAGGTGGAGATGGGACATGGGGATGGTGGAGGTGATGGGGATGATGGAGTTGGGGAGAGGAGATGGGATGTGGGGATGGTGGAGGTGATGGAGGTGATGGAGATGGGACATGGAGATGATGGAGGTGATGGAGGTGATGGAGATGGGGATAGGAGGTGGAGGTGATGGGGATGGGAGGTGGAGATGATGGAGGTGATGGAGATGGGGATAGGAGATGGAGGTGATGGGGATGGGAGACAGAGGTGGAGTTGGGACATGGGGATGATGGAGATGGGAGATGGGGAGAGGAGATGGAGATGATGGACATGGGATGTGGGGATGATGGAGACGGGACATGGGGACGATGGAGATGGGAGATGGGGAGAGGAGATGGAGATGATGGACATGGGATGTGGGGATGATGGAGATGGGACATGGGGATGATGGAGATGGAGGTGGGGGACGATGGAGATGGAGGTGATGGAGATGGGAGGTGGAGATGATGGAGGTGATGGAGATGGAGATGGAGGTGATGGGAGATGGGGATGTGGAGATGGGGATAGGAGATGGAGGTGATGGAGATGGGAGACAGAGGTGGAGATGGGACATGGGGATGATGGAGATGGGAGATGGGGAGAGGAGATGGAGATGATGGACATGGGATGTGGGGATGATGGAGACGGGAAATGGGGATGATGGAGATGGAGGTAGGGGACGATGGAGATGGAGGTGATGGAGATGGGAGGTGGAGATGATGGAGGTGATGAAGATGGAGATGGAGGTGATGGGAGATGGGGATGTGGAGATGGGGATAGGAGATGGAGGTGATGGAGATGGGAGACAGAGGTGGAGATGGGACATGGGGATGATGGAGATGGAGGTGATGGAGATGAGAGGTGGAGATGATCAAGATGATGGAGATGGGGATAAGAGATGGGGGTGATGGAGATGGGAAATGGGAGGTTGAGATGGGAGAAAGGTGGAGATGGGACATGGGGATGATGGAGATTGGAGATGGAGGTGATGGAAACAGAAGGTGGAGATGATCGAGATGGTGGAGATGGGGATGATGGAGACAGGACATGGGACTGGAGGCGGGACATGGAGATGGAGGTGATGGAGATGGGGGTGATGGAGATGGGGGTAGGAGATGGAGGTGGGACATGGGGATGATGGAGATGGGAGATGGAGACGATTGAGGTGATGGAGGTGGGAGATGGAGGTGATGAAGACAGGAGGTGGAGATGGAGAAGGGAGGTCAGAGATGGACGTGATGGAGATGGGACACGGAGCTTAGAGCTGGGAGCTACGGCAGGGCTGGGGTCTGTGGGGCTGGGAGCTGTGGGGCCAGGGCTGTGTCTGTGGGTCTGGGGCTGTGTCTGTGGGTCCAGGGCTGTGTCTGTGGGTCTGGGGCTGTGTCTGTGGGTCCAGGGCTGTGTCTGTGGGTCTGGGGCTGTGGCTGTGGGTGCGGGGCTGTGGCTGTGGGTGCGGGGCTGTGTCTGTGGGTCCGTGTCTGTGTGTGTGGGTCCGTGTCTGTGTGTGTGGGTCCGGCTCTGGCCCCGCGGCGCTGACCCGGGGCTCGCGCAGTTCCGGAACTGCATCCTGCAGCTCTTCGGGAAGAAGGTCGACGACGGCTCCGAGGTCTCCACGTCCCGCACCGAGGTCTCCTCGGTCTCCAACTCCTCCGTGGCGCCCGCCTAGAGCGGCCAATAAAGAGCTCCGAGTCCTCCAGCGTCCCATGAGCGCCTATGGGGGTCCTCCAGTGTCCCATGAGCCTCGGGGGCAATCCAATGGGGTCCTCCAGCGTCCCATGAGCGCCTATGGGGGTTCTCCAGTGTCCCATGAGCGCCTATGGGGGTCCTCCAGCGTCCCATGAGCCTCAGGGGCAATCCAATGGGGGTCCTCCAGAGTCCCATGAGCCTCCGGGGCAATCCAATGGGGGTCCTCCAGTGTCCCATGAGTGCCTATGGGGGTCCTCCAGAGTCCCATGAGCCTCGGGGGCAATCCAATGGGGTCCTCCAGCATCCCATGAGCGCCTATGGGGGTCCTCCAGCGTCCCATGAGCCTCCGGGGCAATCCAATGGGGGTCCTCCAGTGTCCCATGAGCGCCTATGGGGGTCCTCCAGTGTCCCATGAGCCTCCGGGGCAATCCAATGGGGGTCCTCCAGCGTCCCATGAGCCTCGGGGGCAGCCCGGGGGGGTCCTCCAGCGTCCCATGAGCGCCTATGGGGTCTTCCACCATCTCATGAGCCTCTGGGGCAGCCCAATGGGGTCCTCCAGTGTCCCATGAGCGCCTATGGAGGTCCTCCAGTGTCCCATGAGCCTCAGGGGCAATCCAATGGGGGTCCTCCAGTGTCCCATGAGCCTCGGGGGCAATCCAATGGGGGTCCTCCAGCGTCCCATGAGCCTCGGGGGCAGCCCGGGGGGGTCCTCCAGCGTCCCATGAGCGCCTATGGGGTCTTCCACCATCCCATGAGCCTCTGGGGCAGCCCAATGGGGTCCTCCAGTGTCCCATGACCGCCAATGGGGGTCCTCCACCATCCCATGAGCCTCAGCGGTAGCCCCGTGGGTTTCCTCGAGTGTCCCATAAGCCCCGCCCCCGTCCCGTTCCCGCGATCGCCAGAGCCAATCAGAAGGGAGGGAGGGGCTTGGCAGCGCGTCCTCCAATCGCGGCGGGGGAGAATGACGTCATCGGGGGGGGGGGTGAGAGGGGAGGGAGAACCCGGAGGGGCCAATCAAAAGAAGGCGGGAGAGCGGCGGCGGCCAATCAGCGCGCGGGACGGGGAGGAGGGCGTGGCCGCCGTGACGTCAGCGATTTCAAACGGCGCCGGGGAGGGGGAAGCAGAGTGAGGCTGCGCCGCGCTCTGATTGGCTGGAAAAGGGCGGGAGGGGCTGGGCCAGCGCTCTGATTGGCGAGAGTGGGACCAGGCCCCGCCCCCGGGCAGCGCTGGAAGGGTCAGTGTGGGGCTGGGGGCGCCCCACGGCGGGACCCCCCCATGGGGAGATGTGGGGCCCCCTCCGGCCCCATTTCCCCATCTGATTCCCCCGGCTCTCCCCATTTCCCCCCAATTTTCCTTTATTTTCTCCAATTTTTCCAAATTTCTCCCAGTTTCTCTCAAAATTTACCGATTTTCCCCATTTTCTTCAATTTTTCCAAATCTTCTCCTAATTTTCCCCAGATTTCTCCCATTTTTTCCTGATTTTTTCCCATTTTCTCCAATTTTCCCTATTTTTTTCAATTTTTAAAATTTTTCTCCCATTTTCCCAATTTTCTCCATTTTCTCACACTTTCCCCCAGATTTCTTCCGTTTTCTCCCAATTTTTCCAATTTCCCCCATTTTTCCCATTCTCCTATTTTTTCCCATTTTCTCACACTCTCTCCCATTTTCCCCAGATTTCTCCCATTTTTTCCCAAATTTTCCCCATTTTCTTTGATTTTTCCAATTTTTTCCCATTCTCCCACACTTTCTACAATTTTCCCCAGATTTCTCCCAAATTTTCCCCATGCTCTTCAGTTTTTCCAAATTTCCTCCCATTCTCCCCAATTTTTCCCAATTTCCCCTCAATTCTCCCATTTTTCCCTCTCTCAAGATGGCGGCGCCGCCGCCTTCAGACGTCACTTCCGCCCTTCCCACTCCCAGCCCCGCACATGCGCAGCTCTCTCCCCCCCGCCGCCGCGGCTCTTCCCTCCTCCCTCCCTCCGCGCACGCGCCGCTGTTCCCTCCCCCTCTCCCCCCCCCCCCCCCGCGGCTGTTCCAGCCCGCGCCGCTCCCCCCCCGCCGCGCTGCGTCGCCCCGAGCCCGCAGGATGGAGATGCTGAACCAGGTGGGACCCCCCCAACCCGCGACCCCCACATAGGGACCCCCCCAGCCCCACATAGGGACCCCCCCCAGCCCCACATCTCCCCCCCAGCCCCAAAACGGGGTCGCTGCCACCCCCACCCTGGGGGGGTCCTCAATGAATGGGGGCGTTGGGGAGGGGGAATTGAATGGGGGGCAACGGATTTGGGGGGGGGGGCAGCCTCGGTTTGGGTCTGGGGGGGTGAACTCAATGGAATGGGGGGGATGGAGGGGATGGGGGGGGGGTTTGCCCTTGGGGGGGTGGGGGGAGGAACCGCAGCATCCCTGGGGGGGGGGGGGAGATGATGCAGCAATAAGGGGGGGCGGTTTGTGACGTCAGCATCGCATCACGTGTGAGGTCACAGCTCCCCCCCCCGCACTGTCCTTGGGGGGTCACACTTGGGGGTGCCCCCCCCTCCTCTGAACCCCCCCCCTCCCCCCCCCAGTTCGTGGCCCGGGGCCAGTTCCGGGTCCTGAAGGAGCCCCTGGGCTTCATCAAGGTCCTGGAGTGGGTGAGTGCCCCCCATAGAGCCTCCAGAGTGCCCCATAGACCCCCATAGACCCTATAGACCTCCTTAGACCCCCATAGAGCCCCCCATAGACCCTGTAGACCCCCATAGACCCCATAGAGTGCCCCACAGACTCTATAGATCCCCATAGACCCACCACAGAGCCCCATAGAGTCCCCCATAGAGCGCCCCATAGATGCCTTAGAACCCCTCCATAGAGCTCTATAGACCCCAAAGACCCCATAGAGAGCCCCATAGACCCCTTAGACACCCTCCATAGAGCTCTATAGACCCCATAGCACCCATAGACCCCTCCATAGCCCTGCCCCTAGCCCCACATACCCCCCCCCCATAGCCCCATATAGCCCCATCTATCCCCCTATAGCCACTCCCCCCCATCTGGGCCACCCGCCTTAAGCTGGGATTATCCCGGGGACACGAGGGGGGTATTGGGGGGTTTATATAGGGATAGAGGGGGGGGTTATGGGGCTCTGTGGGGTTCCGGGGGAGTTATATGGGGCTCTGTGGGGGAGTTATGGGGCTCTATGGGGGGGTTATGGGGCTCTGGGAGGGTTATAGGGGCATTATGGGGCTCTATGGGAGGTTATAGTGGGGTTATGTGGGGGGGTTATGGGGCCCTATGAGGGGGTTATGGGGCTCTATGGTGGGATATATGGGGCATTATATGGGAATTATGGGTTTATATGGGGTTATAGGGGGAGTTATGTGGGGGGGTTATGGGGCTCTATAGGGGGCTCTATGGGGCATTATATGTGGCTATATGGGGGTTATGGGGTTATTGTGGGGTTTTATGGGGGGTTATGGGGCTCTATGGCTCTCTATGATGGCTATAGTCTCTATGGTCTTTATGGGGCTCTATGGGTCCCCATGAGCTCTATGGCTGCCTATGGGTCCCTATGGGCTCTATGGATCCCTATGGGTCTCTAAGGGCTCTGTGGATCCCTATGGGCTCTATGGGTCCCTATGGGTCCCTGTGGTCCCTATGGGGCTCGGTGTCCCCCCCCCAGGTGTTCTCCATCTTCGCCTTCGCCACGTGTGGGGGGTACTCGGGGTCGCTGGAGCTGAGCATCGAGTGCCCCCCCCCCAACCGCAGCGCCCCCGACATCACCATCACCTTCGGGTACCCCTTCCGGTACGGGGGGACGTGGGTGGCGGGGGGCCCCACAGACCCCCATAGACGGTAATGGGGGCCCCACAGACCCCCATAGACGGTAATGGCGATGCTGGGGACCCCCATAGACAGCACTTGGGGTTGCAATGATCCCATAGAGGTCACTTGGGGCCCCATAGCCCCCATAGCTCATAAGGGGGTTCCAATGCCCTACATAGCCTCCAATGAGGGGAGAGCCATAAACCCCCTATAGGTGACAATGGGGATGCTGGGGACCCCCATAGACAGTACTCGGGGTTGCAATGATCCTATAGAGGTCACTCGGGGCCCATAGCTGATAACGGGGTCCAATGAGCCCCATGGCCAGTAATGGGGTGTCCATACCCCCCCATATCTCTCCCATAGCCCCATAGCTGCCTATATGCCCCCATAACCCCCATAGCTGGTAATGGGGTGCCCATAGTCCCCATATCCCCCCATAGCTGGTAATGGGGTCCCCATATGCCCCCCATACCCCCATAGCCAATAATGGGGTGCCCATACCA